AAGCACGAAGTCTGCTTGTCCCTCTCCCTCTGCCACCCCCCCCGCCCCTGCTCTCTCTCCCTCCCTCTCTAAAATAAATAAAATCTTTTAAAAAAATTGTCTTTAGCACATAATAAAAAGACTTTTTAAAGTCATTCAGATTTATTACAGGAGGATAATTACTATCTAAAAAAATACCTTGCCTATATAAGTATATGCATAAATACTGGGAAAAATAAGCATTATTAACATTTTATTGTTATCTCTGGTTGGGTTCTGTTTTCTGCTTTATATTCAGTTTTCCAAAATTTCTTTAATGTACTTGGTCTTCCTTTTATAATTAAGGGAAACAGTTATTTGCAAATGAAAAGACATGTTTAATAACTTCTAATAAAATCTATAAAGAACTTCTAAGAATAATTCCCTAAATTGAAGTACTACTGGTCTACCCTCTTTTAGTATCTACATACCACAAAAGAAATAAGTACTAAGCAAAAATGTACTATTCTAGTAAATATTAAGTAGAAGATAAGGTTAAAACTTCTCACAGAATGTTTCAAATACCTGAGTATGCCTTAAAAAATTTACTATAAAAAATTTCAAACATACGCTAGAGACAGTAGTAAACCTCCATGTACCAATCTAGTCTCCAACAATTATCAACACCTGACTTACCTTATAGTCTGTTTTACCATCCTCTATTTTAAAGAAAATCCCAATCATGACATCTTTAAAAGTGCCTGTACTTAAACTATTCTAAGCAACTTGTAGTAAATTATAGAACATGGCTCCAAATCCCTCCCATCCAAGTACGCATACCTCTTTATATTGCGATGTTGCTGGAGGTAAAATCTGATTTTCCCCACCCCTTGAATATGGGTTAGTCTTGTGACATTTACTTTGACTAAGAGAATGCAGTGTTAAGTGACATTATATGATCTGCAAAGCTGTAAAAGTCTTACAACTTCCACTTTCACTCTCTTGGAATGCTGTCTTGGGACCCCCATGTCATTAGGCCACATGAAGCAAGGCCTAAATATCAACCAATACCAACTATCAGACATGTGAGTAATGACATCTTGGACCTTCCAGTCTGAGAAATCCCAAAGCTGAATGCTGGTGCATGAGTGAACCCTGGCAAAACCAACAGAACTGCTCAACAGGTACACAGAACTGTAATAGTAAACAGCAGTTTTAATCCACTAGGTTCTGAGGTGGTCTCCTATGCAGCAATAAAGTTTCATAACTCATCCTAATTTTAATTTTGCTACAATTATTATTATGTACCCAGTTTCTATGAAAAATCTGATTCTATTTCAGGGTCTAATTTAGAATTTGTCTTAAACATCTAGTGGAATTGCAGTTAGTGAATTATCAAGAGCACAATATTACTATACAATAAATTCACGGCATGACGGCCAGAGTTATCACACAAAATACCTATGTACTTTAATAGCCACTAGTCTTCCGGAAGTGCAAACATGATTCCATTATTTACCTCTATTTCTTTTCTTTAAAAAACCTGCTTCCAGGGCGCCTGGGTGGCTCAGTTGGTTAAGCGACTGCCTTCGGCTCAGGTCATGATCCTGGAGTCCCGGGATCGAGT